TATTCAAAGAGATCTGCATGTATTCAAATGGACTTGCTCAACAAGATTTAGCTCAGCTGAGTGTCCACTGACGTCATGTTAACGACATCGTTACGTTAGCAAGAGCAGCTTTGGGATTGGATAAATTTGAGCAATGTCTTTATGGCTTCGCAATATTTTGATTTGTCACTCTACGAGTTGAGTTGTCACCCTACGAGTTGAGTTGTCACCCTACGAGTTGAGTTATCACCCTACGAGTTGAGTTGTCACCGTACGAGTTGAGTTATCACCCTACGATTTGAGTTGTTACCCTACGAGGAACGCGCATTTTTAGTTCCACGCAGATGAGTCCCATGAGCCTTCTTGTCCACGAGCGGTTGCCCATGCAAATTTCCACCCTCGCGGGCGCTTTCCCACGTGTGGGACAGAAGAATTTGAAGCTTTAAAACTGAGTATATTCAAACAGACACCAGTAGCTAACATTTGAATGCTTTTAAATCTGATGGATTCTCACCACAGATGTTTTGCCTAAATGCTTGTTATGATTACGCCAAATTTCAATGCTTGTCAGTGCTACTAAGTATGACGCCACGATGAGTTGAAAACTATTATATTCGAAATTGTTCAACATAGATTCTGAAACCCAGTTAGGGCGAGTTGAGATGCCTCTGCCAATGGCATTGCCTCTAGGTTAAGTGCAGATTGAAATTCTTTTGTTTTAATTAAATGAAACCGCATTTGACGTGTCCTTCAGTCGTGTGACCAGATGTATTGGAGCATAATAGTGTTTGTGTTGGTCATCGTGGGATGTGATAGAAAGCTTTGGATATCTAAATATGTAATGATATGGGGAGTGCGGTATCCTGGTTTTTGACATAAAGCTCAGATCATGCAGCCGAATTGCGTTTGTCTGAGATACCTGCAGTACAGTAGTCACTTTTTGGTCGTTGTGCCTAAATCTTCCCGTAATTGAATTATCGATCTTGCAGTTGTCTAAAACTAACTCCCGACTTTGAGATCATGTAGTGAACGTTAGAAATCTTATTTATATAATCCAGGCAATTAAACTGAAATACTAGTGTAGCGTTTATTTTGTATACAGTAAATTAAACAGTATTTGATGGTAATACATAATAGATAATTTAAACAATAACAATACATAACACAAAAGATAATTTAAACAATAACAATACACAATACAATAGATAATTTAAACAATACAATACATAATAAAATAGATAATTTGAAATCCTTCAAATTGATTTTTATCCAATTATTGTAATTTATTTTCAGGAAAAGGCCATTCTGTCCATAAGATCCGCCACATACTTCTACGTGGACATCGTACGTCGGGCAGACGGAGCCTACGTCACCTGGAGCACCGGAGATGTCGTACCGACTTCCATCATCAACTGGGGATCAGGCAACCCGAATTATGGCGGACAGGATTGCATGGAGCTCGGCTATCAGAACCTGGTTTATCTCGACTGGTTCTGCTCGATCGGTGACCCCGTCACGCAGTTCTGTGTCGCTCAGTTCTGAAAGCCGGGAGCAGGAATTCAAATATTCCCGAGAGATGAATCCTTTCTCAGTGTTAATTCTTCACGGAAAGGTGAATAGAAAATTAGACACTTTCCTTTCATGAAGATTCTTGTTTTGTGAAATTAAATCAGAAGACGATACAGTAAAGTAAAATAAAGCATGGCTAAAATAGAAATTCATGTATGTTATCACTTGATCGATGAACATTTGTGCATGGATAATCAGAAGATTCTATCAAATTATTGGATGCCATTTAATATAGTGGATAGAATAAAAACATGAGGAAAGGAATAGACGGACAAATTCATCAGTATAAATATCTTAAATATGGCAAATTATATTGATTAAGAAATACAAAAAAGGTAGAAAGAGCGCAAGGCAACGGGAAGAAGTAATGAAGTTATGAGGAAGTTCCATGCCATGACCGTGTACCACGCCTTGTACCGTTGTACCACGACTCGTTGTACCACGCCTTGGTCTGGTCAAATCAAGGCTAAAATATGTTATATATTTAGCTGATAAACATTTTCTGTGTACTGTGTTGAGGCGAGTAATTCATCATGGTTTTTACCATATATGATCTGTCAAACAATTCATTGGGAGCTCATTTTTTCATTTGGAGCTCACACAGTTCATTTTTTTCGATTTTCTTTAAAAACTTCTCAGTGAAGTGAATAACTTCTAAGAATTAAGGCATAATTATGTCATTATTATTATTATTATTAATTTTTTCCCTGCAATTTTTGTCCACCCTGGGTGCACATAGACAAACGCGTGAACGCACATCAGTCCGAAAAGTTATTATTCTTCGACTGGCACTGAGAATTCACTAAAAAAATTACACTGTTGTAAATCGGCGAGAGTTGTTGCCCGTAGTATTAAATGAATATTATATTATGTTCCTATATTATGTCATCGTATATTTGTGTATGTGGTACGAAATATTTATATTCTTGATATTTTCGTGTGCGTGTGAGTAAATTTCTTATGATTACATAATATATAAAGACCTAGTTCAATAATGTTTGAATGATAACTTTACCACATTCGTGAAACTGTCGTCTGGTCGTTGATAACTCTCCAGCAGCATTGAAATATTACATAGGAAACAATTTTTAAAAAATTGCAGAAAGGACTTCAATTATATGAAAATTATTTATGTAACCAAAGAGGCAAAGACATATTAAAATAACTTCCTTAAACTTCCACTCATGAGATCTAAAATCTTTCTATTACGACTTGTGGAGCAAATTCATGTTAAAAAAATTAAAGATGCTTCACTGTTGAATAATTGGATCGCACGGAATCTTATCGATTTTGTGTCCAGTAGCTTCATAACGAGAAATTAATTAAATATGACAAAAGGTCCACAGCTACCTTTCAACTCTTCACTGTAACCTGCTTACTTCTTTTGTTTATGCTGCATCACAGTTTACTCTCTGCAGCGTCACTGTTTACTCTCTGCAGCGTCCCTGTTTACTGTCTGCTGCGTCACAGTTTACTCTCTGCAGCGTCACTGTTTACTCACTGCAGCGTCCCTGTTTACTGTCTGCTGCATCACCGTTTACTCTACAGCGTTTCTCTTTGCTCTTCTCTGCGTTACATTTAATGTTCTGCTGCGTTATCCTTTATTGTCTTGTGCTAATCTTAGCAAGTAAGCCGCACAACATTTTATTCTCTGCTACAACGCTAAATACGGGCTAAATTAACCAAAGTAGCAAAGGATAATGAATATGACTCCATTAAACAAAATTTTGTATGTGCCCATTTATTGCGAAGACTCACTCAGTTATCATGTGATTTAATTATTATATTATTATTATTATATTATATTTAATTACTAAATGAGAAGGAACACGCTAAAGAAGAGCTAAATGAGATAACGCGCAAATATCTAATCATCCAAATTCAACTTGTTGGGGAATAATAAACATATATATTAAACAAAAATTATCAGTTTTTTATAGAAGTAGTCATTTCTTAAGGTTCAGAGATTTCCGGAATTAATTAAGGTTTTAAAATTTAAATGTTCTATATGCATTAATTTTTTCGATACAAGAGGATGTGAATAGAGAATCTGGTCTATTGTATTTACCCAGTGCACGAATATAATTGTAAAAACTCGTGTTTTCTGTGATCTGCAAAACCGTTCATGAGATTGCTGAACAATCCTCGTTCTCCACACGATAAAAATACGAAGTATAAATACGAGAATGATAATAGTGATAAAACATTTAGACCACACTTCACATTCGCAATTATCGAGACCCTCTCTTCACATTTCAAATAAACCCAAAAAAATGAGGTTCAAACGACGAGAAAACTGCTGCTGCTTTTCAATCCCTCTGACAACGATCATTAACCCTCTACCGCCTGACATGAGTAACAGGAGCAATATTCTCACAAGTCTACTTCACAAAAAGGATACGTTGCTAGTGAGCGCAAAATGACTTGCACTGATGGTTGCCGCCACGTACGACAACTTTAAAATGTTCTCTGTTGCGTACAAACGTCCTCAGGTTGCTACACTCAATAGTTTATGTATAATTTAAATTGAAAGTTATGTTCCCGGAGAGTGACATACGGCGGTTTGTGGGTTAACTGTGAATACAGTGAAGAATGTGAATACAGTGTGATGGTATTAAATTAATTAATCATAATTAATTAAGAAATAATTAATTCCTTAAACTTCCATGAGCATAATATCAATAATAACATGGATTGAGTTATCAGTGCTGTTCTAAGCAAACTCGGCTCTTGTGCTTCAATCAGTATATATTATAGTGTGCAAAGTGCAGACACCTTTACAGGGCTAATACTTGCATAAACTCCTTTACAACATACTCTTATGCGAACATAGTAAATACAAACACATATTTTGGTATACAGTAAGGAATCCACTCGGACCTTTACGCAAAATTCACGCGTGATTGCAGAATTTAGGACTGGATTTTGCTGTCACCGTTGCCTTCGGACTCTAGTGCAGCGGGGAGCAACAATTTTGAACACCGTTCGGTCCTGAATGGAGCGCCTGGAATCTTTCCTTAACGACACCAATTAACAGTGAATCAATTCTGCCTTCATTAACCCGTCCACTCTATCATCTGAGTACTGGTAAGAGCATCTTAGTTACCTCCGGGTTCCGGTAGCGGGCGACCTGCTATCGGCGGCTTGAAGACAGTGGTCGACGAAAGCGATGCATCAGCGTGACCATGGACGAAGACATCCTAGACTTGACATAAGGCCATAAGCATAATATGGTGTTTAGATGCAAAGTTTAGTGCAGGATAATCAGTACAGTCTTGGCCTGTTGCCTCCGTAGTTGGTGATGTAGTAAAAGAAAAACAATTTCATGCTTGACGAGCTAATAATCCCAATTTGCTCAAAAAAGTCCCGTCTTGCTGAAATTTTTGTGAATTCCCACGTTAAAATTGTTTAAGATCCAACAATGCATGTACCATCTAATATTATTTAGGAATTTAGAGTGCATAAGTCCAATTTCTATTTATTAAGTAACGTGGTCAAATTCTTCTGCCCTGTAACTTCATTTTTAATCGGTCAGGGGTGCAGCCTTATGCTAAAAGTTTTAATTTTCTTAACTTAGCCTTGGTGCCAACGCACAGCCTCAGCATACAGTAAGGATACTCGGCCTGAGAGCTATGTAAATACACCATGTATTTGTAATTTTGATTTTAATATTTTTAACGGAAAATAGCCAAAACCCTCTTTATTTTAGCTCAAAAAATTAGGGAAACTAAATAGGAGCTGTGTAGTACGCTGGAACACGGCATTCCAGACCACAAAGCCCCCGTGCCCAGATATCACCTTAAAGTGATTTATATCTGCCTATTTAAGGGCACACATTAGAGCTATCAATTTCCAGCCAGCACACATTAAATGGTCGCCAATTTGAATTCGTGAGTATTGAGAAGTTACAAGACGACTATAAAGTGTCTCAAGTAGTTTTATCCATCGAATTTCATCATCTGGCTATTTTATTTCTGTGATTCTGAAGCCTGCATAGATGCGATTCGGAAGGCGAGTAGCTGATCATCGCACATGTGTTCCGTTGAGAGGTTGTTCCTATGAAGGTTTAGTGCCATAATTTAGCAAATTAAGCTGAGATCATATAGCCAAAAATACAGAACAAAAATAATGAACAGGTGATCTCATTTTTGTTCAACAGCGAAAGTAAATGATGCGCTTCTGCCGTTTCCTGCAATATATATCTAAGACATAAATTAGGCATCATGTGTTCCTGGTCGCAGATCAAAATACTGATAGAAGCAAGTTAGATTTTCCTGTGGCAGACGAACGGTATCAGGGTGGTGCTGCAGTTGGCGGCCGAGAGGTTGTAGAAGTAGTTGAATTGGGGAGCACCCCACATGGCCGCGCACGTATTTGGCTTTGGTTCATTTGGCCCCCAGACGCTGGAATTCACTGCTGACGGAATTACTCGACCGTTCGCGAACTTCCACTCTGTTCCAATCTTTGTCAGGCTCGTCCAGAAACCTCGCGTCAGAGCTGAAATGAGGCCGGAAATTAGAGCTTTAATTTACTCGCAAAATTCTCGCTGAATACACCTAGTCATTTTTTCTAATGCGAGAAACGCAGTGAAACAGACAGGGCCTGGCCCACATCATTTTATGGAATCACTTAAATTTATTGGAATCACTTAAACTGATAAGAATAAAATTTTACTTTACCAAGAATGAGATATGATGTTGGAAAATTATTGGCGCCAATGAATGCTGATCGATAATTGAACGAAGGGACTAATTGACTCGCCAACCGCAGTCTTTCCTTTCAGAACTAGGAAGTGTGGTATAATTATCTTAACTAATCTCCAAGCTCTTACCTTTGAAGTCTACGCATCCGTCGCAGGTGCACGGCTTGAGACCAGCACATGTACCGTTGTCAAGGCAGCACGGGATGTTGTACTTCAGGTTCGTATCACACGCCGCAGGAGTGCCGTCTGACAGCGGAAAGTTTGGTCCACACTTCCCGTCAGGTCGGAACCGGGCATCTGCATGTAGGAGGAGATGGGCATTGTGAGATGGACTTTGGCAATAGTTCTTTTTGTGACCTGCCTAAACGGTGTCAAGCTGTTGGATGATGCGAAAAGATAACTGGATCAGGACTAATAGCAGAAAGCTATTAGTCCTGAGCTGCCACTACTGCCAACCACTGTTGACAGCTAGCGAAAAGTAATTGCAGTAATGATAGCATTGTGGTTGCTAAATATCAAGGACAGAAATATACCTGACAAAATTGTCAGCTCATCTTAAGGACCTTCAAGAGAATGCATGAAAAAGAGAAATAGGTTTCACCGCTGGCCATAAAAACAAGATTACCTTCCAAAAAAATGTTTTTTTTTACCATGCAGCACAATATTTTTCACTACCAAGGAGTTTTTCCAGTTATGTAAATTGATTACCATTTTTTATCAGTTTTGAAATAAATGAGGTAAAGAGAATTAATTTTTGGTGATAATTTAATCGTTTCTAACAAAGCAACCATTATTAAAAATAGGTTTCATATGGTTTAAATAAGTATAGGACAATGTTTCCCCAATTAAGAATTAGAGATAAGTTTGGACCAAACCTTCATATAAATCGTGATAATAAAGTTTGTTTACGCCTTAAGATACAATGGAAATTAATATAAGCAATGTCAGAAGATATGGAGCTGATAAAACTGATAAAACACTAAATTTGGGCCAATTTTACCCAACCAGACGAGGCCCTGGAGTTTTCAGAACAAGTCTTAATTATAATCATTTCTCCGATGGAAAAAAAATTAAAAGTAGCCAGCACACCGTACCATCCCGGTCATGTGGAACGAACACTTATATAAGAGGTAGTTCCAATTCATCTAAGTACTGTAACACTGTTATTCGAGGTAGTGGTACTTCACCACATACCAGGTCTGATAATTGTATTAATATCATATGAAATTTATCAGGGCCCGGTGCTGTAACACACCTTGGTATCGAAAGTACATCGCTACATTCTAGTCACGCTACACATACATTGGTATTGAAGGTACGACGCCATGTTCCAATACTCTTGGTCAGAGACGGGATCGAAAAGCCTGAAGCCAGGAGGGCAGCCGCGGCTGACGGCATCCGAGAAGTTCATCAATTGTTTGGACACGAAGATGCAGCCCACGCCATCAACCATCACGTAAGGAGGGTCACACAGACCGTCTGCAACGAAGCAAAAAATAAAAAAATGGGCAGCTGAATTATTTTCCATCGTTTGATGAACAGTGTTCTAGAGGACCGGATTACATTGACATTTCTAAACCCACGCAGTGACTTACCTGCCTCGTTATACAGGGTGTCCCCAAAAAAACGATACCCAACTTTGAATGGCTGTAACTTGAAAAGTAATAGAGTTAAAAAATTTTGAAAGGTCAGGATTTGTTTCCTATGTTTTTCTGCATCTATCCACCAAAAATCAGACAGATCGATGTAGCCATAAGCGTTTGATAGAACTTTCAGTGACATGTGCTAAAATCGTGCTTGTGCAAAGTTTTGGTAAGATCATTTTGCATACTCATTACGTTGTCTTGACATGTTTTCTTTTCGCTGTTTGATTTTTAGCGCATTTTCTCATTTATGAAAAAATGCACTATTGTGTTCAGTACTCACTGCAGTGAGTGACAGAGAGCGCATTTTCTCGTCGACGAAAACATGGAGTCACGGACGGACAGACAGACGGGCAGAAGGACGGACGGACAGACGGACATGGCGAGCACAATAGTGCATTTTTTCATAAATGAGAAAGGGCGCTAAAAAATAAAACAGCGAAAAGAAAACATGTCAAGACAACGTAATGATTATGCAAAATGATCTTACTAAAACTTTGCGCAAGCACGATTTTAGCACATGTCACTGAAAGTTCTATCAAACGCTTATGGCTATATCGATCCGTCTGATTTTTGGTGGAGAGATGGAAAAAAACATAGGGAACAAATTCTGACTTTTCAAATTTTTTTAACTCTATTACTTTTCGAGTTACAGTCATTCAAAGTTGGGTATCGTTTTTTTTTGACACCCTGTATATACGTAACGGCTTCTTTGAGGCAGTGTAAGGGTATTGGCATCCCGCTAAGATGTGGGTTCTATTTTCAAGCTGATAAAACCTTTAATAATTATTGTAAGCACAGCCAATGTAGGAGCGGGGGCAGTAGGACTCCTTCTTGATCGCGCTGCACTGAACTGTAACTGACAAGCCCTGTTCAGGCCGAATTCCCGCTGAGACCTTTACGATTTTGATCTATCGTTCAATTTTATGCGCTTTGTGGATATCTCCGCCTAATATACAGTATTAATTTATAATCTATAATCTAGTTTTCTATTTTTTTAATGCGAAGCATTGCCATTCTTCGTTCAATTCACCTTGAGATTAAGCCCGAGCCTAGTAACGAATGCCAAACGGACCTACTGCAGAGCCCCAGCTCTTTTGAGCACCTAAATTTTGGCGACCTTGCCAGGTGCACAACAGTTCATTGTTGATGGCTTGTGGCTTATTATCTCCTGTAAATTCATTTTGTACAAATCTACAGTTCATTCGGAGTGAAGTGACAAGCTCGTGAGTAGACGAGGCTGATAAGTGTCAAGAGTGTTGGAGATTCCATCACGCATGTTACTTCAGTGGATTCTCAGAGTACTGTTCAGACACGCGAGTTGCTCTCTGTTGTTCAATTGACGAGGCCACAGTGGACATGATGTTCAGGAACAGCAAGTGGCAGGCTGTTCAACCTGCCCCTACTGAAGTGTAGAGTTCCAGCATTTTGATGTTGACTCTGAAGATTGAACATTTCATCGAACATCCTGTGAAGGCTTTTAAGACTTCCACAATAAGAACTTATTTAAGGGGATATATGTACTGAGATGATTTTACTAGGTTCGTGAATTTACTCACGGAGCTAAATTTGTTTTGGTGAATTCGCAATTTTAATTTTATTCTATCTTAATTTTAATATTTCGTTTAATTTGTTTTAAACGAAATGACTATGTTGGAGAAGGATGTTCGATAATCTATAAAAGAACGACTGTCGATTTCTTAACATGTACCTCCATACTCCATTTAACACGATAGCTGCAGCGACAAATTCCTTCACAGGACTCATTTTCACGACTGGGAATTACGAGCTGAGAGCAAAGGTGTATGGTGGGAAATCCCCGAATCAGGTTTGCGAGTCAGGACCAGGTAGCCGGAGTCGCAAGTTTGTCACGCAAGTGCATGGGATGATGAAGGACTTAAGACTCACGCTTGATGAAGGCCACGGAGCCATTTGCGCTGGTGAGGTTGGAGCTTGTGAGGTTGGAGCTGGTGAGGTTGGAGCTTGTGAGGTTGGAGCTGGTGAGGTTGGTGTTGGTGAAGTGACACATGTGACCCCCACCAGGAAGAGGCTCGCTCGCACACCCGCGACACTCAGCGTCCACGAAGCAGCTCTCTTTGCATTCACCTTCAGAGATAAATGAGACCAACGAAAAATTATATATTTAGTTCATAGAAGGCAAAAAAGATTCATTAAATTAAATAGTTCATAAGAGACAAAAAAGATTCAACAAATTAAATAGTTCATAAGAGGCAAAAAAGATTCATTAAATTAAATAATTCATGAAATATTCGTTATCTAATACAAAGCAGCGCTATTAAATAAAGCTCCATAACAGTTCACTATGAAGCTTCATCTGAACTTTCTGACTGCTGTAATCGATATTATGAGCTATATTCTTTCCACTCTTATAATCAATCAAACATCTTTCTGGCAAACTTATAAATCATTTGTAGGTTACATATATTGTATATTTTGCAGAATTAGTCGTAATGTTTGCCTCTACCTTTGATTCCATTGTGTGTTTGCTGTTGTGAAAATCTCCAAAGTACAACTGTTTTATTTCCTTCAAGCTCGTGACAAATTCGGTATCGTATACCGTCACAGCAATAACTTCTATGGGTCGTAAGTTTAGAAGACAGCCTGCCCAGTATCTCAAAGAGAGTTATCTCATAGTGTTATAAGTTAGGCTAAAATGTACCTACGAAAAGATAATATTGTCATTAACTTCTCCGTAAATTGGACGGGAGTCAAATTTCTATATCCAAGGTAATGTTGAAATGTTCTATCTTTAATTAATCAAAATTACCTCCGTTTCAAAAAATTGTCAACGGGTTGTTCGAATTCTAGAGATTGCTGTTATAGAGCATTGCCCGGTTGAGCTACATACAATATTTTTATATTCTTCAAAGAATATTTTTAAGAAGAGCCTTTTTGGCATTTTTCAGCTAGTTGAATCTCTTTGCACGCCGATTTATTTTTACGAACATAAATACATACATGTTTCATCCAAACTTATCCTGCCGATGAAGGGTCAAAGAAAAGGTAATATACGTAGGAACAAGTAAGTAATGTTATTTAAAACAGACTACTGTTAGCGCGTTACTGGAAAAAACGCGTTGTTAGAAATCATTTATCTATTTTTAATACTGCAAGTTGATTTTCTTTTTAGCGGTTATAGAAATTCTCCGGGAGAACAGAGAGAAATAATTATGATACACATGCATTTTATTGGTAGCCCCATTTATTGTATCAATAAAACACGTAACGACCGGCAATGCAAGGCTTGAGCGTCGGCAGTTTGAGCTCAACTTCTGTGTATTATGCATTGACTGCATTCATGATTAGTTATGCAAATCGATGGGCCCGTTCATTACACCAACATGCTGTAGGGATATATAGTGGGAAAATACACGGTTTATTATTTCGTGATCATTAGCATGATAATGGCCAATGGAACACAAAGGGCATGGGCTCTCGTGCTAGTGTGCGTCACGACCGAATCATTATATTCAGTATTTGTCTTGGTATGGACTCAACTACATATTCGATAACCTTCTACTTTCATATCAGAAATTCTTTAAGAAGTATTGCCATAGTATTTATTCATTTATTACAGTTATGTTTGTGTTTTCCTTGAAGTCAGAAATGATCGATCATTAAATGTGAAAGTTTATGTTTTTCATTTTTTGTTCAAATGAGATACCGTAAGAAGAGAAAAAACATAAAAACAATGGCAAAGATAGTTTTCTAGTAAATTTCTGCGTAATGAGTTGCATAAAATTGCTGGTGTATAATGACAGTACGTAACTGTAATTTACATCGACTTCATTAGCAATGTTGATTGTGATTTATCCTAATGAAAATATTTATAAGTGTCACTATGATGCACGAGCGTGTCGAACTGTACTATGAAAATTGCACCTCTTCCACAATTAATCGGTAAACGCGATGAATAACTCCTTTGTTGAATACAAATCCTTCACGACAATCACTCATAAGCTCATTATTTCCATCAACAAAATTCATGGCAATCTGCCGTCTGCTCAATCAAGGTTGTGGAGTGCCACGGGTTATTTGCATTTCTGACCTGACATTCCAGACTGGTCTTCCACTCAATTTTCTCAAACCATAGCATATATAGACTAAGATTAATCAAAAGATAAGCGCAGCAGAATTCCGATTGCTACTCAAACACTGGCACCAATCTCCGTAGAGTAATTTGTCTCTGGGATCGATGGTGATTGCTGAACAGACAAAAACATTCCAATGAAGGGCGACGACAGTAGCTACAAAAGCTAAAATCTGGAGCACTTGACAGTACATCTGAAAGAATACCTGATGAATGTAATGCATTGAATACCTCCCTATTCAGAACCAATGAACATTTACTAGGCACTTAATAGAGCGAATTGGAAATTCAATCATCTATGAATTTCTACACTTCTGTTTATTTAACAAAATTTTTCATAGCCTAAAAAAATATGAAAAATTATGATATTTTGAAATTTTATCACGAATGTCTTTTATTTATAAATAGTTATAATTGAAATACTCACAGACAGTTCTGACTCGGCGCGATGACACGACCGCCTCAGGAGGGAGGTTCATGCCTGACAGCCGCTCCATGGTGTCAGCCGTCGCCTGCTGCGCTGACATCAGCACGCACAATGAAACTAATAACAGCGCGGGCATTATTGTGCGATGTTGCGCTAATTATGAAGAGATGATCAAAATTCAGGGCACTGTACCATCAGATTATTTTGCTGTTAAAGAACATGAAAGAAGAAAAAAATACTGTCAAATACAATATCTTGTAAAAGTTGGCAGCCATACAGAAACATGATATTGTATGGACTCTTATATCAATACTGCGTATATCAATAAAATAGTGCCTCAATCAGACCCAAGTCACGCAAAGCTCCCAACAGTACATTTAGTTCGCAATTATTTTAAATTAGTGCGGCTCAGAAAACGTTAGCGTATAAATGTGCTGCAGCAAACAGACAACAGCATGTTTCCAAATTATTTGTATAAATAAATTTTCTAATAATAAATTCTTGCTCAGTAGGTTTATTTTAATTTTCAAAATAACGACACATAGAAGGCTGCAATCATAAGGAATTAAACACAAAATCAATTATCGCGTGTCAAGAGTATATCCGATTCTTCACTTGAAAAATTAACTAAATTTTAATTTCACTGCACTCGATCAATTCCGTAACCTGATTAAAAAACTTTTCGTAGTCACATTATTTTTCGTGTAGTTATTAAAGTTATTACCTTGGGTGGGCGCTATTGAAAATTGCGATGTAGGCTGACTTTAGAATTGAACTTTTCACAGCAGCTATATTGCCTGTGATTCAAGCATATTTAAAGAATTGTGAGCATTATTTGATTTATTTATTTCAAATTGCTACACTAACGCCACTTTCAAAGCCTAATCGAAATGATCAATTATGTCCTCAATCGTCTATCGTACTTCACACAAGGAGGAACTACTAAACTATTGACTTTACAATTTGGCCTCATAGTTGTTAACGATAAAAAAACTTAATGCCTGTAGTTTGAATGATAAGTTCGAACATTCACTGTACCGTTCGCTGTTTCATGTCGAGGCTTATGAATTGCCAATAGCTTTGCACGCCAGGACATGAATACATAGAAAGTTTTGGCTCTAACGAGTTTAATTTTTTGCCATTGTATCGCGCAGTGCAGGTTCAATCTTCAAAGTTAATACATATTGTGTTCTAGAATAGAACATTGTCCAAAGAATCATTGTTCAAATTTCACACATCAGTCGCAGCGACGAATTTTTTACGCATATCAAGATTTTTTTAGCTAAACCTCAATTCAAGCCCACAACTACTTTAATAAAAATACCTTACTTACTGACTTACTTGACTCCGAGTGCTCTATGTAATTTATAGACCGCACGTACAGAAAAAAATATGTTTTTCTTCTTAACGCTTTTTAAAAAGTGTCTCAGAATAGACAGTTATATTTTTAAAGCGTTCAGCTCTATTTGCAATTGCGAGAATGCAAGATTTTACAGAGGGCAAATTTATCATTTCTCACTAAGGTTTTTGCTACCAATTTTGCTTTCGTTCGAAAAACACATTGTTATTCATTTTGTTTCGGGACTCCAAAATAGGGAAAACAATAAAAAAAAATATAACTCAGTACTCTGCAGTGAGTGACAGAGAGCGCATTTTCTCGTCTTGAGAAAATCCGTCCGTGACTTGAAAATCCGTTCGTTCTCGTCCGTGACTTGAGGTCACGTACGGACGGACAGACGGACGGACAGACGGACGGACAGACAGACAGACAGACAGACGGATATGGCGAGCACAATAGTGCATTTTTTCCATAAATGAGAAAATGCGCTAAAAAAACGAAATAAAACTAATTTGGTACACTGCCTGAAGATAAGCGCTGAAAACACAGCTCATGGCAAGCTACGAGGTTTGTTCGTAGAGTATGTAAGCATTATAAATTACGCGACTGCAACGATGAGGCCGCTGGTAAGAACATTTGTGCCGTGTAGTAACATCTGCTGGGAAGCCACAAACGATAATACGAAACCATCCGATCGAGTCTACGATGTGTTTACGTGATTTTAAAATGCCTGTACATATTTAGAAATTTGCCGACTGCACTCAAGGCTCCAATTCTCTCTCAATCAAAGCTTTCTCTGCACTCAAGGCTCCAAATCAATTAATGTCCATCGTAAAATCAATGAAGTGTATGGTAAAAACATTACGAGTTATGGAATTGTTCGGCATCACATTATGAGTGATGCCTTTAAAGAAGGCCGCATAAACTTTCATGATCATAAATGAATTGGGAGACCTTCAGTCGCTACCGATGCCTTAATTCAAAAAGTGGACTGTAAAGTGAAAGATAACAGACGATTCACGATTTCGCTCTTAGATCCAAAGTTTCCTGCTGTCTCAAGAAGTGTTCGTTGCGAAATTGTCTAATCAGGCAGTATAATCAAATTCTCTGACTATGGCATTCAAAGGCTGGTCCCTAGATACGCTAAATTCTCCAATAATAATGGGAATTACTTAGAACAGAAGAGTTATGTTTTGCCTTTCAAGTGAATGAATTTTTGTAAAAGAAATTCACTTGTTAATTTATAATTTCAAAACGGTACTTACTTTAAAAAACTCGTATTTTTATTAATTTTTACGTTTCAAGTTGCCAAGTCATCAAGCGATATAGCACGGAATCTGAAACGTCTGGGCCCCAAACCTTTAATTAACACCTAAAACCCTTAATCTAATTACTTTTATTTCACCTAAATTAGGCATTTTCGCCCGATGTTGACCGTTACTATTCTGTAGTCGCATGCAAATATGAAATACACACCACACTCCAAATCCCATCGCTGGCACTGTCGTGCAAGACACAACAAGCATCAGTTTACCCATCTTACCGTGAGCGAGCAAATGGTTAACTACCATAAATATCCTCAGTTGACCCATCTTACCATGAACGAGCAAATGGTAGCTAGGATAAATATCATCAGTTGACCCATCTCACCACGAGCTTACAACAGCTTAACCATCTATTTTGTGAACCGAGTATTAGAAAATATTCATGGGACTATCATACGGATGAACCCATTTTATACTAAATTACGAGTGAAATTTACAGCTCCTTTCAACATGTCAGTTTAAAAATATATATATAATAGTAAGGTGGTCCAAGTGATAACAATTACACTGCCATCATTAAAATAAATCCAAAAAAATTAAATAAAGTGATATATTAATTTCAGACATTGCTCCCGCTCCTGATCACACGGTCCGAGCTTCTTCCGGGACCAAGTCAGAATGACAAGCCCGCCCCCGGGGTGGCAAACATCCAGTCAAGTCGGTTGCCTGGAGACCGCGTCGGCATTCAAGTGACGTGCGATGGAGGTGTTGGTAAGTATAGCTTGGGTTATTGCATGCAAACAGTTATATTAACATTCTGTATTGAAGGTGATGATGGCATTGATTAGACTTTGCATCAACTGGCATGTCGATCAGTAAAACGCAATTTTCAGTCGTCGGAATTTTGACAGAAAACAAATTCTTGTCGAAGAATTTCGACAACTCGAAACATTGAGATTCTTCATGTCAATATATTTTCATATGTTAAAATCAATGTCTTCCCTTCAGGACCTTGGACTAAGTTTATGATATCGTGGCAATTTAACTCTCAAATATATTGCTGAAGAATATACCTCTCAAATAAGAAAAAAACTTCGTTTCAGGAATTTTTGAGCAAAAAGTATGTACAAGAAAATTAAAAGGAATAGATTATTACCACCCATTTACGCAACATTCGAGCGCTATCGGCGACTCTCGATTTTTGTATCTCTAAGATAACCACGTTGGTGATGATGTTGGTTTGCTGAAGTGCATAGTTTTTTCATATAAGTGCTTCCATTCATTATTATGGAATGAATTTTCAAGTTTTTAATTATATTGACAGAAAATTTAATCTTAAAATAATTTTCTGTCAATATACTTGAAAACTTGAAAATGGGTACAATCGCCATAATACTTTTTATATAAATCAGATAATAACATATATCATTATATTAAGTGTTCATCCATCATTGATATATTAACAGGTATAAACAAACTATATACTCATTGTTGAAAAAAATCCATTTCAATTTTCGCGTTCAATGAAGAGCAAAGAATCAAACCAAAATAAATGATCGCCATGATTGGCTACTGGTGAGAAAAAATTACTAACAAAAAATGCCCTCTCACGAATTCATTTTATTACTAATTTATAATCGCACATACCTATTGAATTATATTTTGTGGAATATTGACTGCATTGCTGGATAAAACCTTGAAAATTATCATTCAAATTTTCGGAACTATAATACTACTATTATAGTTAATTCGTGTTTTTAAGTTACGTTCACAGAAATATGAAGTTTAAACGTGCTATAACTTCTTCAATACCATGAACTTCATGGTAGATGAACCTGCGTGTATTGTGTATTGATTCTTCATGCCGTATTGATTGAACTAGAACAAATAACGAACAAGGCTCAACTCTTTTCGTTTTTTGTACGTAGCTGATGTATTTGAAGCGACTTTTTTTGAGTACAAGAGACTCATATGAACTGTTTTATATTTATATTTAATAAGAGTTACTCTGTAGTCTTCAACTAGTGTGCACGAAAAAAATTTTCAATATTACTTGGTATATTATTCTTTTGAATAACTTTATGTTTATTTTTTTTGTGATTCGCCTTTACTGCGCGAATGAATTTTTGAACGCACAAAATATTTATGCCGATATGCACCCTAACACTCTCCTGCATTTCTTTGTATCGTTAATCATTAATTATTCCGCACATAATAACTAGATGAAGACTAGCCTTGCCGGTGCTTATGCATCAAACAATGCATGCGGTATGCATAATACAGAACACATGATGGATGAAATAAAAGGTTCCCCCGAGCGACAAAACTTAATATGGATGCCATTTGTGCATAATATGAGGCATTTATAAAATATTGAATACATGAGCGTTATAAGCGATGCTCGAGCCATCTTTGCTCGACCTGTTTCGATCACAATTAACAACAGGTCCATTATTATCGTGGCTCCTGCAGCTCAATAATAATCTTGGCTCAGTGTTCTTCCGAAGAATTACAATTATTTTTGGATATCCCAGCGTAATAAAATAGAATTTTTAGCAGAAGTTTTGAACTCACATTCCTTTCCTATGAATTTTTTACATTTATTGACCCTTAGTATATAAACAGATGTTTTAGATTTTTAAAATCTGATACAGGCATGAAATAATCGGAAAATATTAGCTAAATATTTCTAACCAGCAGACATAACCTACGTTGCTGAGAACTCTGAAACAATATGTCTTCTAAATACCTGGAAAATTTACCAAGATGGTAACCGCGATACCCAACATGTTACCCCACGATACCCAACTCACATTGTCACACCTCACCATCTCCAACCTCACATTGTCACACCTCACCATCTCCAACCTCACATTGTCACACCTCACCATCTCCAACCTCACATTATCACACCTCACCATCTCCAACCTCACATTGTCACACCTCACCATCTCCAACCTCACATTGTCACACCNGATATCAAAAATTTGCACTCTCGTCAGAAACACTAATGAAGGTTATGAAAGCAACGAAGAGAAGAGCCCTATTTTGTCAAAACAATTGTAGTGGGCATTTAAAAGATATTATATTTAAAAACTAGGATACAATATTACCATAAAAATGTTCTTCTTTTAAATAAAACAAGTTTCAACTTCATAACGTTCTTAGTTTTTTATTTATTAACAAATTAAAAGGGTTACTTAATTCTGAAACACCCTGTATTATAGTATAATTAATTAATAGTATAATATAATTAGTATATATTAGTATATTATAATAGTATAATTAATTAATAGTATTATAATTAATAGTATTAATTTATAGTATTATAATATAGTATTATATATATCTTATACTGTACAAATATATATGTGCAATATAACGCATGATATAACCCCCATTAATAACCTGTTCAGAACTTACAATTTCTTTTTTACTTTTATTCATTCGATTCAGTGCGAGGAATGAGAGACCGGAGACGACTAGTTATTACAGTAAGCCTAAATATACGGTTGTTTCGATTCTCATCTTTACTTATTTACTCAACTCTAAATATTTAATCGTTTATCGATTGGATTTTCTCCGAGCAGCAAATTGTTAATCGCCTCTTTGTTATTTTATAATAATATATTTGGATTTACTTACTAATCATTCGAAGTTAGTTATCTAATGATGTACCCACGTCATCCTATAAAACTCTCGAAAAAAAATAGAACGCACTAAGTCCCTAAATTTTTCAAATCATTCTTAAAACAGTAAATACGATGATGAGAAACATTCATTCCTGACACGAAGCTCTAATTATGTGTAGTGCCTATCGTTTCGCACCTCAACTGCGTATCGTAACGCGAGTAATTCCATGCAGTAATAAGTGTTACATAATACATACAGTACAATGTAATGCTGACAGTGTAAGGTACAGTATGATTTACGATTCCTGCACGATTTTTGAGCTCATGCTATTGATTCTGAACGATTGCGAATGCTGGGTAGGAGGAATAGATAACAGAATTAAATGATTTCAATTTATATCTAATAAAAAATAATTTCCGTTGTCTTAGTAATACAAGGTATGAGAATCCGACTTAATATAATATCTGCTTTAAGAAAAAATGATTTTTTCTATGTCGAATTTAGGAAGCAGTCACATTGTACATGATAAATGATATCGTTTGAAAACTGGAGTACTGTGCAATCTGTTGAATTTCAATATCGTTAATACACCGTACACAAACCTGTTAGAATTTATTGAGTGATATATATAGCTTAATGCTTTAATAATGGTGCATCGAAGGCTGTTATTTTATCCCATTTCTGATAGTTTTGAGTTCATTAGCTTCTCAACATCGTAAGTAAATACATGTTTTTAAATCTCACACATGAAAGTAAATTTTTCGATCTGGTAAAACCGAAGAAAATCAAGTTTCATTCAACAAATTAATTCCGTTACACAGATTAGTATGATACCCTCAATAACCCGTACCCGGAATAGATTTATGAACCAAATTAACATGATTTGAACGTTCAAATAGTACAGATGTACATTTATCAGGAAGATTCTCATCACTGCTCAGAAAATAATTTTACATTGTTCATCTCATCTAGATTTTCTTATGATAATAACACTTGAAATTAAAATAAGCTGTTTCCTGCAAAGAACTTGGAAAGTAAAATGTTTCACTTGAAAAAATCAAAATTGTTCTCGGAAAATAGCGAGAAAACCACAAATAAAGTTAAACCTAAACATGGGCGACAATCCTTTTTGTTGTGGGGGTTAACAATGGCGAGGGTGAGATAACAGGAGAGTTTCAAGCCAGCAGAAGGTCGAAACAGAATCATAGTAAAGCATCAGAAATAGGCGAGGGAATTGAGACGCAGATTTTGCCGTCGTTGTGTGAAAACAGCAGCTTTAAAGACACCAAAAATTGCAAAATTTCCGATTTAATATGTAAACATCAATAGTTCAAATGATAAGAGAGAAGAAAATTGAAGTACCAGAGGAATAGTTCAACAGAGTAGCGGTAGCCTGCTATGATTTATATTGAAGGAGAAAGATTTTAGTTTCACTAAAGATGATCAGGACAAAAGGCGGCTTTTCAAGTGGCCAAGATTAAGAACATGGAGCAGTTCGTCTTATTTAAGCACGACGGTGGGATCCAAGTGTGGGAACTCTGCACAGCACCATATATCCTGGTTCGTTTGACTCACTCATGTAGGAAACGCATTTTAGTTCTCCTTTTCTGTGGGAGTACTTGAAAGTTTCAACAAGATTGTCTCCACAGAGCTGCAGCCTCGACAACGGAAGGTTGTCACGGCAGAAAAACGTGATAACGCCATCTTTCTTGTTCTCTTTGCCCGATTTAGCTTTGGCTGTCGACGTTTGCATGTATGCGACGTCTTTCAGTTCGCCGCTGCGGTAGAGACGGCAAGCGTTGACCCATGCAGAGTCGTGTTGTCGCCCTCTGGGGAACTGCAACGTCCATCTCGCATAATCATTAAGCTCGGCAGGATCTTCAATGTAATCCCCCATCACTTCAGCCATCACGTAGTGAGTCCACATTCGCGACGGGACTTCTATGGGAGGTTCCGAGTATTTGCCCGATCTGAAAATAACAGAAAATTACTGGTTTGAAACTTTTAGCTACTGCCGAACATGAAAATTACATCAGTTACCGATGAATTGTATCATTTCATACGCAGTAATTTCCAATTGAAAGCCTACAATTATAATTTTCTATGTCTTCCGGTTCCCGAAAGAGATGATTCACAGCAGAATTGCTAATAAATCAAAGGATTACCAAATTTGAAAGTCACATGAAACGCCAAATACATTAAATACATTCTCCAAATGTTCAATCAAAATCGAGGCGCCAAAGTTAATTACGACTTTTAGGCTAACTTTCATTACCTGTGTAATTATGGTTAATTTGGTGGTTAATTTTCGTTGCGATTGCACGAAGTTATTCGAAATAATTTCTCGGTTATATCTATGTACTTTAAAACCTACCCCCCCAGGTAAAAAGTTCCCAAAGGTCATTTAGAGACACCAAGCCAAGGACATGCTGAAAGCACCACCTGCTGACGGCTACCAAGAGCCGCCCACAAGCGACACCGAGAAAGGAACTGAGCTTGCCAAGGTTCGAACCCAGGACTGGCTCCTCTAATGTCGGTGCCGCGGTCACTGCGCTAACAGTGGCGCTAACAACTGCGCCACAGTAGCGCAATGGAAGGCCAGGTCTATAGACCAGGCAAGAACGGTTTTCACTCTCCGTAAGTTCCCTAAATTTTATTCACCTTTGCTTGAGATGATTGTACGTCGACACTGGTAAACGGTACAAATAGTTCTTTATCGCTCCTGTTGCTTTGGTACCGATCTTCGACTGACTATCAGTTTTATATGCCACGAAACCAAAACTGTCACTGTAACCCATTTTCTTGACCAGCTGCTGCCCGTACTGAAGAACTAGTTCGCGGTCAGTGTGAGGCCCGCACTTGAAGCGTATTGCTCCGCAGGAGGGGTCACTAGAGCGGGCGCAATGAGCGGCGGTCGACGCCTTGATAGAGATGACGCCTGGCAGCTCTCCAGCGCTGTAGAGCTCTACAGCCTTCGCCCACATGTCGTTCATAGATTCGTTCTCGAAGAACAGCATCCATTTACCGCGCAAACTTTCGTCAAATTTGTACTTTGCCGCGATTTCTTCAATTTCCAACTTGATAAATTCTTCCTCGAATTCCTCCATTGGCTTCTTCGGAACCGCCATTGCGTCTGCTAAAGAAAAGAGAAACGATTGTTAGCATTGATTATGCACTTGTAAACAATTAAAAGGGAAAATGAATATTTCAGGGCTAACCCTATATTACCGAGGCCCATCGCACAACAACGGTGGATTAGGGCCTTGAATAAATGTGTCCATAAATGCAGATCAAAGTTGTGATTCGTGAACTGTTTTTCCGTTTCTTATAAACCTAGATCAAACTAAATTAAATAAACATACACATATGATTCCAATAAATTATATGGCATTACTAGTTCGTGTCCGTGTTGATTTGTATCGTATTATGAGGCGACATTTTCGTAATATTAACGCGATTAATTTTTTTAACTAGGGTATTGGACAGTATGGGAGTTGCTGGGCTACTCTGAAATGTAATTAGGAAGCACGACCAATTAGCGAAAATTGCAGGTGTAGAAAACGATGCTCGTCTGATAGAAATACTTCAGTGGTGTACTAATAAATAACCACAGCAGTTGCTCTATTAGAATAACAATTTTTTTTTTTTTTGTAACCTCTCAGCTTTGTTTCTGGATGAGAATTTGACGAAATTTATTACTTCCTATCATTTTAGGATATTGATAAGAACGAAACATTGCTCATTACCAATAATAACGAATTATAACATTCAAGACGTTTTGATCGTGGAGAATTGTAGGCCTACTGATAGTTGAAACCTCTCTTTATTGATGATTTTGCCTTAAAAATTGATATAATATTATAGTTTTAGTCCGTTAACATTCAGAGGTTAGAAAAATAATACATGTAGTAATAAATACTAACAAAATTCAATTTTATAATTGCAAATCAAACATCATGAAAACAACATAGTAGGCTTAAAATAAATTAATTTACATTAATTATTCTATGTTATGTAACTTTTCACTAACGACTCAAAATTATGGGTACCTCTTTAATACTGCGACGTTTTTTTGGGAATTTTGGTGGACTGAATGATAATCTATAATTACACCATTGAATTTTGAAATAATCAAAGGTGAAATGATTCAGATCATCAGCCTGATCAAGTGATCATCCTGTTGACCCATAGGACTGAATCACTGCTACACTATGCAATACTTTAATTTCTGCTCTTATCTCGAGATGGTTTAAAGACAGAGATGAATATTAACAATTAAAGATTGCTTAATTCAAGTTTTCAGCATCATTGTTGACCATCCATTCAAACGTTCTGGCGCGGGCGACTCGACTGCCTCACTTAGCGTCCGAAACCTTTTGTCACAAATAAATCCCCCAAAAGAAAAGACTTAGTTTGGAGACAATTGTACTGCAATGGCCAATTCATAATAACAGCACAAAAAATAAAAGCTGAGAAAGTCTATCTCGTGATCTCATGTCAATGATGTGTTTTGAAAATGTACATGTATCAGTTATAATTCGGCTTATTAAATTATGAGCGAAGAATCCGCTGGTAAAAACTTTCGTTTTCTCTTCATTTGTATAAAAAAACTAAAATTAGGGGTACTTGGCTGTTTTCATGTTACATATGGAGGGTTACGGTATGAATAAAAATATCTATTTAATTCACAAATAAATTTGTGATCCCTTCGAACTTGGCAAAATTTTAAATCGTACAATTTTATGTAAAAAAAGGAATCAAAGCAAATTCTTTCAAGATCATAGACGAACTCCACGAATAAGTAGAAACGCAGAAAATATTAAGTATTAAGATCGATGCACATCGACATTTGGGAATAAATACTCACTTCCAGTACGAAAACACAAGCACCGCTTCTACTACAAAACACTCCAACTGATATCAACAACTACAAATGACGAGTGACGAGTAGGACACTCGGACGTTCTGAGTACTGACTTCTGAGTGACCAACTGACCAAGTGAATAGTGAAGCTGCTTAGCTCATAGCTGCAGCCTGCGAGGCCAAGGTGAAGGAGGCACCAGTTCGTGACGAGTATCGAACGAGTTCGGAACGAGATAATGACGACTGAATGGCGTATCCAGCATCAATATAAGATTCAAAGTTAAGCCTGAACAATCAAAATGTACTGATAATGTACTGAATAAATGTACTGAATTTCTAACATTATTTCAAACAAGTTTCAGCCGTGGTCGAGAGCGGACGCTCGTGTTTTGCGGTCCCAGATTTTCAACTTTTAACTTTAACTGTGCCGTTTTCGGAACTCTTTTTGCATTTTTTTATGATCCGTGTCAGTGAATGACTGAATTTTCAGTGAAGTCAGTAAAATAGAGTAGGAGCATATGTTCAGTCTTAAAATGCCTAGCAAATTACGGAGCAGGCAATAAGTCCAGCAGCTATCTCAATCAATCGTCAGTTATGGAAAGATCGGGTTCCAAAGGCTGTATCCCTTGTGAATCAAGTCACGAAAAGTTCAAGAATCGGCAACAGGCCATGGGCCTATTTCTTCAACGCCGACACTTCTATTCTATTCTATTCTATTACCTTTTATCAAACTAGCGAGTTTTTGGTATAGTTAAACGGTTAAAGCTTAAACACTCTCCAGACTTCTATACGAATTAACTCCTTCGGCACTTCTGGGTCGAATATTTGGAGTGAATTTTTGGGAGAAATTCGGGAAAATTACAGCTTCACTTTAGTTCAGGGCCAAATTTCCTCCATTCAATGAGTTGAAATATTTAGAATACTGTCTGGCACAGTTTATTTTAGATTGGCTTGAGAATTTCCCGCCGGTCCTGATTTGCTATACCTGCAACTATACATCGAACTACATCTATATCAAACTACGTCTTATTTTCTTGTATTCTCTTGTCAAGTTCCCGCATTGACACCAACGATGTGATTAAACTTTCTCTTTTCTGACCTTTTTGAACATTGCTAAGTGATGCCCTCATCCATTGAAGACGGAGGGGAAGCACCAAGTGAAATTCGGCAATTAACGGAGAAGGGCGCAAGACAGCTTTTTATCCCTTAGTTTGAAGGCGGCTTTGAAATATGAATTTTCTTCATACCTGAAATTTTACATAATGCTTCATAGGGGTTAAGCTGCTCCTTCAAACGTGCCTTCAAGTAGTAGCAGAGTTCCAGCGTTACGTACATAAGTCACTCCAAAATTCGAGTCGAGTTTGCACAACTTTCCAATCTGTGGATGCAAGTCAGAGGTTGAAATTAAATGCCCTACTCGTATCTCAGGCACGCAGGCATATCCGTTCATGTCATTGAATTTTAATGATATATATATATCGTATTTTCATATATTTGAAAGTTAATCGAGATGAACTGAATTTACTTCTTTAATATATATTTAGGTATTTTTGACATGGAAAATTCTACTTTGTTCATTTCAATATAATGAGGTGTGCGTAGTCCAAATGATAATTATTTTATATTATTCTGTGGATGCGCCATGGATGTATAATATCCAAATTACACCATATTTTAGTAAATTAAGACACAAAATAAGGCAATGAGAAATAAAATCATACCGGGTTTATATTTCCACAAACTTCGAAATTCAATAAAACTTTATATGCAAGCAGAAAAATTAGTTCACATTTTCTATTGAATAACGTAAAATATTACAACTCATGATAAATAGCCTAATTATCTGGTCATTAATTTTCAAATTGTATTCCATTGAGTTCTCAATTCATGAATTCGTGGTATATATGCATGATGTTATATCTCACCTCCGCATGGAATACAACCGCAAACGAGACACTCTCGTGGCACGGGTGAATCAATCGTGCAGGTGTACCATTAGGGGCCTAATTCATTATATATTCACCTAATTACGTAAACTCGTTTAAAAATAGCTCAACGACTATACTAATTGAGGTTAGGATATCGCAAAATACAAACGCTTTTTTCACTGTTATTAATGACGATATGGTGGATTTCCATACCGTCTTTGGTGCCTTTAAATTCTTGGTGAATTTGTGCTTGGACTTTGAATTTAAATTGAGATCTTGTAGATCGGAATGGGAAACACGCACTACACTTCGGGGGCTGGGCATGCACCAGACGGGCTACGTTCGATATCTACCAAAGTTCATTCCTAAAACGAACTTGAAAATATGTCAGGTTAAGACACGAAAAACTGCCAGTATAATATTGTTGCAATGGCTACTTTTGATGAGTTGACATTTTTTAAATGAAGTTTTCCGAGCCCGCATTGTTTTCGACGATTATGTCATTCGACTATTTCCGCACGCTCAGCTCACATTCTTCCTTATAAAGTAGATAGTTGTTTAACATTCGTAAATTATCATACATTGAATTTCTCGCTTAGAACTTTATTTTTCAGTTATAATTACAGTCAGTAGAAAAAAATTCTACGTACGCTAGTTGACATTTTCACTGCATCCGATAAACCAAAGGATTGAAAAATTAATGAAAGGGACAAGCCCTGCGTAACAAGAGATCTAAATTCGGTTCAGCTAAAAACAAACCTGAAATTACAGACATTGTATTTCTTCCATACTGAAATACAAGTTGACATCGTTGCCAACTTTTATAGAATGCAAAGCAAAATACAATTTTCCATCGTAACTTTCATAAGCAATGAACAATTACTGCACCAGTCGATATACTGTGTAGCCGCTGAAGATACTAACAAGAAGTTTCAACGGAAGAAATGGCGCCGCTAAGAAAAACAAACGCTGCTTATTTTATTTATTTTTGACGTAATAAAGTCGCAAACAAAGATATAAAAAAAAATTGAGAAACAATTAATTTGGATAAGACTTTTGAAGACGCATAGACTTTACAGAAGTATAACGTTGGTAGACCATTGTATTCATATATGAATCGGGGTTGTTTCTGAACGAGTGAGAAACCTGGCATTAGACCAGCATAGAATAATTATGGTGTTCAAAAAACTGTTCATACATTGTGACCAAAGCAAATCATTTCTCTATGATCATCCAGCGAAAATCAAGTGGTAAATGCGAGAAATAATTGATGTGTTGAGAGATGAATTTTTACCACTACAATTCCTCGTCCTATATAGAGTGTTAATAGATAATTAATGCTTCGAAATATTACATTTTTCAAGTGAAGAGACGTCAAGTTGTTGTTCTGATACACTTAACATGTTCGATGATGAAGAGGGAGATTAGAAGTTTAAATTGACCGACATCTATGCGGAACAGTTCTTAACTTACTTTTGAAATGACGACTTCCGAGTTGAAATGGCTTACGTTGGCATATTATTTGGTAAAATTCGCAGAAGTACAAGAGTTTAGAATTTAATAGCTCGATTGAATAGTTACATAAAAAGCGACCACAAAGGGCAAATCCGTTCATTATCTCCGACTTCATAAAAGTCGCGTCTGGGATTTAATTCCAATAAAAACAGTATGTGAAAATAACCCAATTGAGATTCCGTTTATGAATAAAATCTGCGTGCGTCTTCAAGTAAAACGAACCTGACAAATTTCGAGGAACAAATATGTGTAGACGCAACCTATTTCGCTGACGCAGCCAATGTGTGGATGCAATCCATTTCACTGGGGCGATTCAATGCCGAATTCATGCCCCATTTTGGGCATGTGGGGCGATGAATTTTGGTTGGTTAGTAGTTGGCTCTTACCTTAACAGGTTGGAATTCGGCACAGTACAACGTATTCACCAGTCTTGTACGAAATACATCTTAGTTCCCCATATCTGAATGAGTAATTTAATTTTTTCACAAGATCATTTCCACAGTGGAGCAATTCTGACTTCGGAATATTTTCACGGATGTAAAACCATATAACTCCATATCGGTTGTGCTCCTTGTTCGGTGGGGCTTTAGCTGTCGACGTTCGAATGAATGCCACGTTTTTCAGTTCGCCGCTGCGGTAGAGGCGACAGGCCCTGACCCATGCCGAGTCGTGGGTTCTTCCTTTAGGGAATTGCATCGTCCATCTGGGATAGTCATTTATATCTGCAGGATCTTTAAGGTAATCCCCAACTACTTCAGCAACCCACTCACGCAAACAAATCCGCGATGGCATTTCCAAGGGGGCTTTTGAGAATCTGCCCGACCTGGAAAAAAAATATTACCGCTTTGAAAATATTGGATACAAATCATCATGTTTTCAAATTTTATCGATTCATTATTCGAAAGGGTTAGCATTCATTGGATAAAAAGTTCAATTAAAGCATAGACAATGTCACCGCAACAGCATATATATCTCCACCGACCCGCAAATAATACCGTAAGCTTGCTTTGGAAAATGTTAGCTTGTGGATGCCCTCGAAATTTGGCACTTGATACAACCTTGAAGCAGGTGTGAAGCCCTGAAGAAGTAAGTCACCACATGCATATTCTATAATTAACACGCAGAGTGCGGTACGACCCACCGGTGGGTTGCAGGGTCTTTTTTCCTGAGAAATTCAGCGATTTTTTTTTCAATTGTGTTGGCCGACAAAAATTTATGATGCAAATACTACCTCATTAAAGTTTAAATTTACGAACAAATGAAAATTAAAATTTACACTGGAAACTGCGAATTTACTAGTATGTATCGAATAACATATATAGGCCTTTTTGTCCGCGGACTTGGTCGTTTTTAGGCCATTGGGGGCCGCGCTGCACTCGACGTGTTAGCTGAACGAACGCTTGTTTAGGATGAGCTTCAAAACTGGAGGGCTAATTGCACATATGAGGTAGCACCGTAAAATCTTCGCCGGAGACAAGGTGCACGAACAGCTGGGGTAAAGAGTTACGGGCGCCGGTTTGTGGGAAATTTTGTGCCTTCGCTGTGGCTCAAAATTGCCCACAAACCGGCGCCCATAACTAACTCCTTACCCCAGTTGTTCGTGCACCTAGGCTCTGGCGAAGATTTTACGGGGTTACCTGAAATGTGCAATTAGCCCTCCATTAATGATCATTATATGAATTTGCAGAATTAACACCACTGGAATTTACGACGCCTACGTCATTTGCCGACTTATCTGCGCTCATCATGAGCGTAATCGATGTAGTTCAAGAAATCTTCGAGCTCACCAATAATTCAAAAGCAAAGAAAATGCCAAGCAAATTCTTTACATCTTCAATAAAAACGTTTCTCCATCTTCAGTAAAAAAAATTCATAGAATATAAATACACTCAGTACTGAAAATCAATTAAACACTAAAGATATTAAACCTAAGTAAGGAGAAAACGACAAATGAAACGTAAAAAACCATTCGATTTACAATTTCAAACTTTACCAAATTTACTTGGCATTTCCTTTGCTTTCAAGTTCTTGCTGAACTTGCGATTTAGCATACTTGAGATTAATATCTTCGAACTCGGGCTAGCTGGATCAATGAAATTTGCATTGCCTGCAACATGCCTTGATAATGTTAGCACGATTAATTTTAGAAATTTTACTCTGGCAAGTACTTATTTACCTACAGTATATTTGAACGTTGACCGTGCCAGCCAGCTGCTTTCCGATCACGTATCCTTCAGTAAGATTATATGACTCAAATAACAATTTTTAAATTGCTAATATTGGGTTTTCAAAACATAATTAATTTTAAGGTCTGGCAATCGAACAATCGAAGGTTATGCCAATCGTTCAATGTTGAAATGTGAGACGCCCAGTCTCACAGAGTACCAGCCTCTGAACGAGTTCGTTCAAACGAACTGAAAATTAAGTATGATCACATATAATGTACTGCTGCACTCATCATTCCTAGGAAACTTTAATTTATTTAAAAAAAAACATTCTATATATGTGCCAATGTACACATTACTCACATTACTATGCTCTTTTGTATTAAATTCATTATCATAAATGTATGCATTGGTTACATCGAGAAGCTTCCGTGAACTTAGAAAACGATTAATGAAAAAACTCCTAGAGGTACGTAGGTATCACTGTAGTAATGGCTCTCAAAATGGGATAATTCACCAAATTTTCGCAAGTGAAAGGAGTAAAATGTCGATGACATTTATAGTTAATTGCAAAAATCTGTTCACAACATTTGTGAGACTCGAAACATGCATATTGTGGTTTGTTACATTGGGTTGTAAGGAGGAAAGGTTAGTATCACTCTGCCATAGAGGCATCGATCCCGGATTGGAACACTACTCTAAACCGCTGTCACCTAAACCGTGTAAAAATTAAGCACCTAAAATTTCTAAATTTTACTAACTTCTGCTCCAATCGATCGTACGTGGGCACTGGTAGCCGGTATATATGGTTCTTCTTAACTCCGGTCGCCTTGGTCCCGATCCGCGACTGGGCATCAGTCTTGTAGGCAACAAATCCACAATCTGTGCTGTAATATTGCATTTTCTCGATCAGCTGCTACCCGTACTGAAGAACTAGTTCGCGGTCTGTGTGAGGCCCGCAAGCGAAACGTATTGCTCCGCGGTCGGTTTCTCCAGCACGGACGCAAGGGGCGGCTGTCGACGTCTGCACGAAGATGATGCCTGGCAGTTTTCCCGCGCTGTAGAGCTCAACTGCCTTCGCCCACATGTCGTCCACACTTTCATGCTTGGCAAACAACATCCATTTGCCGCGTAAACTTTCGTCGAACTTGTACTTAGCGGCGATGGTTTTAATTTCCAACTTAATGGATTCCTCTTCAAATTCGTCCATGGGCTTTGTATGAGTTGCCATCTTGACGGTTCCTGAGCAAAGAGCCGTCGAAAACATTAACATTTCTTAAAAAAAAAAGAAAAATTACAGACTATGGCATAAAGAAATTCTGTGGAAGTTGGATTGTCAACTAGAATTTTTACTTCAGTTTATTTGACAATTTTTGTATTGTCTAGTAAAGCAATGATTCGGTACATAGTGAAAAAAATTCTGCGTGCTATAAAAAATACTAAGATACATAAACTCTACATCGAGAACAAATCTAAGTTTCCTGAAGTAGCACCTCCTAGCGTTTTTTTCAAAGCCCAAGCGTAGTAGTTAAATTTGTATGTCATATTCAATTTTTTAAAGCGTCGTATCATGCATGATTTCTCAGCATTTTTCATGCGACTAAACCTGCAACAACATCGTAAATAATCTGGTGAGTCGAACGAGAGTTTATGAATAAGTCATAGTTTCAATATAAGTCTTCATGTAGAACAGTGGTTCCCAAAGTGGGCGATATCGCCCCCCTAGGGGCGGTGGAAAGATTTTTGGGGGCGGTAAGGTAGAAGAGGGCGGTAGAGGGGTGATAGGGGGGCGGTAGTCCGAAGTCAATGTCAGAAGTGCGAACGTTTGTTTGACGATTTGTACACAACACGTGCAGCACTTGACTCCCAGTGATGGTTTTTTCCCCAGATCTGTTTTTTAACCTCTCCAGGGTTTACGTCTTGGATAAATTAACGGCCGGACTCGCGGCCGGTCTCACGGCCAATTTCCAAATTCAATGATCAAGGAATATCTCTCAAATTAATGAACTAAACTCGATGACACTTTGTACACGTATTTATTGGGACCTAACAATAATGCTTTTCTCGTGAAAATTGTTTGAATTTTGCCATCGTTTGTTTTTGCCATAGTTATATGGCAATACTAGCCAAAATTCACAGTGATCAAGTAATTTCTTCCAAACTACTGGACAGATTTGAACGAAATTTTGAATTTGCAGTCCGAACTACCGAACCGTAATGTTTAGCTCGTGAAATTTTTTTCGATTGTGCCTTCGTTCACGAGTTTTTTTCATTTCACCTTTATTCATGATTTAAACAGCAATACGTGCTTAAATTCGTATTAATCAAGAAATGTTTCCAAACTACTGAACTGATTTGAACGAAACTTAGTATTTAAATACCTAACCCCAGCAGAGGTGATGTTTACAATTTTTTCGTTTTGCCTTCGTTTGCGTATAGCCATTATACGGCTATACGTATAAGGCTCTTGCCTCTTGGTTAAACCGGCCTTTAGAAAAGCCGGTCGTTCCTCCTATATTTGTATAAGTCGCGAACGAAAGCAAAATAGAAAAATTGTCACGAGCTAAACACCACCGTTGGGAGGTTGGGAGGTTAGGTATTTATATGCAAAGTTTCGTTGAAATCTGTTTTGTAGTTAAGAAAAAATTTCTTGATCGCCGCGAATTTAAGTGACAAATTACCCGGCGATACGGGCCAAATATAGGAAGTGTGAAATCAAGAATGACGGTGAAATGAAAAAACTCGCAAACGAAGGTCAAATCGAAAAAAATTATAAGCTAAAAAATCGCCGTTTGGTAGTTAGGAATGTATATTTAAAATTTCGTTCAAATCTGTTCAATAGTTTGGAAGAAATTCTTTGATCGCTGCGAATTTCGGCCATTTCGCAATAAACGCGTAACTTACGAATGAAGGTGAAATAAAAAAATTACGAGCTGAACATCACCGTTAGGTTCTGATGAATACATGTTCCAAGTTTCACAGAGATGCGTTCATTAGTTTGGGAGATATTAATTGATAATCGAATTTGGAGATTGGCCTTGAGGTCGGCCACGTACGAGTCCGGCCGTAAATTCGCCCGAGACGTACTATGTTTCTAGTGCTGAAACAGTTAAAACAGCTGAAAAACATATTGGTTCAATAAATGGGGTTCTATTTGTGAAATACACATTTGTGTTTAACCTTCATCTTTTAAAATTGCAGAGTATAAATTTCAAGAAATAGGCGTATGTCTGTGGGGGGGGGGCGCTAGAAATTCACTAGGGAGCCAGAGGGGGCGCCAGCCTGAAAAAGTTTGGGAACCACTGATGTAGAAGAGGCGTCAACCAGAGGTTTTGCGTAGTTTCAAAAAAATATTTATAATATTCCGAGACTTCAAGGTTCTAAAATTTCCGAAAAGAGGTACTGGAATGGCTTTCCTCTTCAGCCACACCAATCCACTCCACCCAATTTGACCCAAAAAGTGCATGCGCATTATCTGGAAACCCGAATGGTGAGAAGCCGCAACAAATAGGGGTAGAAGTGATATTTTTAAAATGTTAATAGTACAATTACAGCAGTACAAATCATTTTGAAGGCGCTACGATTACAAAACGAAATAACATATGTTACATTTACCGGAAAGATCCAATAAACTTTACTATTCAGAATTCAGTTAGCTGCAGAGACTATTTGTTGATTAATTTGCCAACAAATTTAAATAAGTTCAAATTTTTTATAATCAAAAGCTTGTAGTAATGAAACTAATTACTAAATAATTAAACTCAATTCGCAATTAAAGGTAAACACCGACCTGCGAACAAACGCATACCACGACCCGGCAGGGGCTTAATTATTGACATGATGCCCAACTATAAGGCCCCACTAAAAGCAGGGCTCCCAGCCAGTAATTTGAGAAAAACTTAGATAGTTACTCAGTAAAAAAAACTCAGATTCTGTAAAAAAAACTAGACGACAAATTTCATCAAAAACATTGCAATTTTACTTACTTCTGATGGAATTATAATTCTTGGCTGCTGCTAAATTGATGTTCTCTGTTTTTTGTAGCAATTATGTTGCATCCTCAATTCAGTGTGTAGCAATTCTGTTGCTTCCTCGTAAGAAACTGTCGTGATAATAATCTACCTATCTGTCACTGTCTCAGTTTCAAGGGGACCGCTACGGTAAAAAAAAACTTATTTAGGGTTTTGAAACTTGGTACACATATGTAAACAGAAAGCGATAACTTTTTTGTTCGTGTGATTTTTTTTCGGAAAAATTAAATAAAAAGCGAAATTAATAGAAAACGGCGAAAATTGGGGTACTTTAAAAAGTTAATAACTTTTGCAAATCACATGCTACAATATCGAGACACATTTTATTCAATTCGCAACAAAATTATCTAGCGGCCCTAGAGTACCGATTTTCGATTTCCCTCATTGATTTTCTTTTATGCGCGTTTTTCCTTTTTTCCACATTTCCTAACTCCCCCACCCCCACTCCTCCCATAAATAAGTCAAACCATGCACAAATTCAAAAAAATATAACTCAGTGCTCACTGCAGTGAGTGACAGATAGCGCATTTTCTCAAAATCGACGAAAACGTGAAGCCACGGACAGACGGACGGTCGAACACGACGAGTACAATAGCGCCTTTTTTCCATAAATGAGAAAATACGCTAAAAAAAGGCTCCTAAAGTCGTTAGGTATGGTATTTACGAATCGAATGGTATGTCTTTGATTGCTGTAGCTTGAATACTGCAGGAGTTATTAAGTTTTTCAGATGACGTTTTTTGGATTTTTAAATTTGTCAAGTGAGCCAAATAAGATAAAATGTATTGAAAATAGAAGCATATGCCAAAAATAAGAGAAGAGTATGCCTTGATATTGTAGCCCAAGCTTTCCGATTGCCAATTATTTCATATTTGCATTTAGGTTAACAGCACGCGTCTTTAGACTAATTCTTGTTTTAACGTGAACAATAAGCTATTAATGGGACATTATATAAATATAAATAAAATACCTGTTCATTTTACATAAGTTTAAAACTGCATTACGCAAAAATTATTGCATGTACATTGTACATCCATGGTAGTAGCTTTGCTGAACGCGTCATGTTTATAGCTTTCAAGCGAGTGCAAACACTTTGCAATTAACGCAAATAATGATCTATAAATATTATTTTTCAAATGAAAATTTGTAAATATTGTTATAAAATGGTCATTTTATAAAAGTTCAAAACTGCCTTACGCAAAAATTATTGCATGTACATCTATGGTAGTAGCTTTGTTGAACACGTCTTGTTTGTAGCTTTCAAACGAGTGCAAACACTTTGTAATTAACGAGAATAGTGATCTATCGATACAGATTTAATTTATACAAATCTTTGTACATATTGTTAAAAATTGTTCATTTTATATATTTTTGAAATTGCTATGCGCAAAAACTAGAGCACGCACAGACAGGCTGTTAGCTGCGCCGTTCACACTAGCGGCAACGACATGCGCTTTGAGTCGTTTGCTGCAGTGCCTCACCGCGCACAACCGTTCACACTACGCTCGTAAAGCGATAGCTCGAGACCGCGCGCTTTGAACAGTAGCAATGGTGACTTTCAGCAATGGTGACTTCTACACACAAGTTTCTTAAAGCTCCAACTATTTTTACCATAGTTTGTTCCTTCGCATTTCGATTTTTGTACTCCTTTGACCAAACACTCCATAGGCATTCATTTTTTCTATAAAGATCAATTAGGCTCTCTACTAGAGAGTGACACCAAACGAGAGTGGTGTTAGTCGACATTTGGTGTGCCGGACCAGCGTACACAATCAACCTTACTAGACCACAGCCAGCTATCTACTAAGAATTTGAAAGCAAATAATAGTCAACAAAAATTCATATCTTTATAGAAAACGTTTCGGAGACCTTGTCATAAAACTAGACAGAGTTTCAAACTTTGGTTGATTCATCCCGTATTTAATGTTACGCAGTAAATGCCAGAAGCCAGGGACTGAAGTGCAAATCAGAGATACATCGTTAAACTGTCGAAAGGGCCTCCATTCATCATCGAGTTGGTTTAGAACATTCTAAGGAACAAGATGGGGGAAATTCTTTGCTACGTTCACTATAAAACTGGCAGATTGGTGACATCTCTTGAGGCAGCGTGATCTAATATTTGTAAATTTGCAACACTGCCATCTTCTTCTAATGGGAATTGGGAATCATTTGTTGATTTGCAAGCACAACGCAACTAAGAAATTCAAACAAACCGTCTTAAATCTAACGTAATTTTTCAAGATTGGAAGCAAGGATAACTCTCATGCAACGTCCACCCGAATTCAAAGCGTTTGGTTGCTTATGTAATGATTTTTCACTTGGATCATTAGCTGAAGCTCTTGTGGATTGAACTGCCTCTTCTCTGCTGAAATAACTCTAATGTTCTTACCAACTTTTAGCTACTTTTCTCGGAGGACTTGCCATTTTTGGGCTTTCACTGTTCACTATATGGTAATTTAACAGCACCGATAGGCACAAAAGCAACAGTAAGCTCAACGTAACGCACGACTGTGACGACATAACTAGAACTTGTCACGTGTCAACAGCGAGCGCGGTATTGTGCAGTGTGCACTGTGCGCTGAGAAATCGTAAGCCTTTGCTTTGACTGGTAATGAACGCGTTCAAAACTGGTAATGATCTCGTACAATACCACTATCGTCTGTCAGCTAGGGAAAATATAGTCTGATGGTTAGTGCGTTGCTCCATTCGCTGTGTGTTGACTGCATAATCAAATTTAAGACATTGAGAATATTTCCATTATATTATTAGATAAAATTAACTTAACGAAAAAAAAAAACAGATTTGGCCATTTAAAACGAAAAAATACACCCAGACATCCAGGTGACGGCGAAAAAACAGATCTGGGTGGAAACACCCAGCTCTGGGAGGTCTGACTGAAAGGCTGAGCGATGGAACAAAGAATTGAACGAGCAACAAAACGCGTTCGGAAAGAGATAGTCACACCTGGATGGCGTATAAAGATTTGAAGTATCAAAAGGGTAAATAACTAAATGTTAGGGTTACGTATGGTTTCATAAGAGGAATTTAAATGACTTTGCTTTAATTTAGGTCCTTATTGTTCCATACATATCAATGCAACTTTATTGCAATTAACCTAACCGAACTAGTACGGGTTAGATACAGTAAATATATGTTACAGTTATTTTTATATTTTACCTTCCCTACATGGATGTCTACTTTAATCTACCAATCTCAAAAATTATATACATATACATATACAAAATATAACTCAGTACTCACTGCAGTGAGTGACAGAAAGCGCATTTTCTCGTCGACGAAAACGTGAAGTCACGGACGGACAGACGGACGGACGAACGGACGGACATGGCGAGCCCAATAGTGCATTTTTTCCATAAATGAGAAAATGCGCTAAAAATCGGTCTTTTATTTGTATATATATGTGGATTATTTTTGAGATTGGTAGATTAAAGTAGACATCCATGTAGGGAAGGTGAAACATAAAAATAACTGTAAGCAAACTGAAACGTGAAAAAATATCTGTAAGTGGTAACTGGTAACAACTTAACAAGTAACAACTAACATGTTGACAGTAGTAACAGGCTGAGGTTGACAACATTACACTGAAATTTTTCGTACAGTTTTATTCTGTAATTTATGTTATGTATGTATCATGCTGGCTTTTAAATAATATTGAATACTATTAAGTAAAATCTAAAGGCTTTATCTATAAATGTAGCAGTAGCGCTGTAGCGGCAAAACCTCGTATCGCTACTTAAATATGTAGCGGGCGCTACCGCTACCGCTAAATTGCTTTAAATGTAGCGCCGCTACCGCTACCGCTTCTGAAAATGTAGCGGCCGCTACATGTAGCGCGCTACTGCCCACCTCTGTCGGTAAGTATCACAAATGCCGTCTGTAGCATCCGTGAATCAACCAGCAAGTTGAACAATCTGATCGAATGTGGTTAGATTTGATAGAATTAGAAAAAAAAAGTTTCATAATGTAGGATCTCACGATGTCACTCAAAATCAACAACGTTCATCCGTATTCAACGCTGCTGTTTAAAACTGGCGAAATGACTATATTATAACTTAAATATAACTTAATTACATTAACCATATTATATTAAATTATAACTATATAACTTAAATCGTGGCCTCTGCACAGAAATTATTATATTACATAAAGTTCTACTCCAGTGACTTTCCTATATCGTGGATTTCTACCTAATCTATGCCATATGCCTAACTTGTCCAGAAAATTGCAATGCCGAGCGTGTGTGGATCATTCTTGACGATTATGATTTCAACGCGTGACAGCAAAGCAGCTCTAAAGTCGCGGAGGGTAATTTCCGCGATTGATCTTTTTTTTTTTATTTTAAAGTTTATGGGAGCCTCTGAATACTAGTTCAATGTGGCCCCATGACAGGACGGTTTAAGGAAATTACGGTGTTAGTAAGGAAAAATTAGGTTCAGCAACAAATTTAGGTGTTCTGAAGAGTTGTCCATGTTTCTTGACGGCTGAATGACTGCAGAATTGGGTACTGCATTTTGCAGTGGGCATTGCTAGGTATTTGTCTATAGCAAGTAGCTCCTTCGCCGGCTCAACGCCTCGGAGCGAGACAGCAATGTACAGCATCCACGGGCACTTAAAATTTGAGAACGATGACGTGGCAGCCGGCTGAAGCCGGCTTTCGTCATGGGAGCTCAGCACAGCACACCTTCCGCTTCAGCGGTCAGAACAGAACTCCCGCGATTGATCGTGTAATTTCTTCAAAGCCCAAGGAACACACACTGTGATCCGTAAATTCTGCTCAACGTAAAGCCAACAAAATGTGCCTAAGGCATCAAAATTTGTTTCAGCATCGGTTTAAAAACGTATCCACAATATCGAGAGTGCGTGATCGAGAATGAGTTGGCAGGGCATAAACCGAAAATCAATGCTCTTTCTTGAACTAGCCGGGTGAGCAGATGAGTTCCTCAGTTTCTGCTCAAAAGCCCGACAACACCCAAATATAATGAAAGCCATGAGTAAGTTTTCCAACATTATATAGGAGCAACAATTGTAGTAGAAAATCTAAATTTGTCAAAATCTAACAGTAAATCTATCAAATCTACCTTTCTAAAATTAA